CAAATAAAATTATGTTCCACAATCTGGAATGAGTGAAGAAAAAGTTGTTTAATTGCAGGAAAATATAATATGTAAAGCGTGGTTTGATAGTTTCATATAACAACACAAGCACTTAAACTTAACTTCTACTTCAATTAAAATAAAATTTAGTACAACAAACAAGGAAAACATTACTACAGCACAAACACAAACGTAGCAGGCCAACATAATAAAAATACATGAAATATGAAAAATACACTAAACACATACATGCCAATGTTTAGTCCCGGTTGCCATTTATTCTCCGCTCCAACCACTTAAATCGTTCTTCCAGTTGTTCTTTTTCTTCTTCTACCTCTTTCAGTTTCGCCTTCACCTCCGCAAGTTCCCGTTTATATTTTTTTTACGTTCCTTGTGTGCTTCACAATTCCATTGTGCTTTCCATTTTTCTTCTCCCACCTCCTTCAGTTTCGCCCTCATGTCTGCAATAATTTTATTGCTTTCTCTTTCTTGTTCCCGTTGGCCTAAACACACATTATGAAGATACTGCAGTTGTTCTCTGTAGCATTCCTGATAACATGGTTCATCAACCCATTCCTCAAAATCACAAATAGGTTCACCGGGAACCTTGTAAAACTAGTTCATACAGTGCCAGTAGCGGCGTCCAACTTCACCACCGTCCCAACAATTTTGCATCGAGCATTCTTTTCCACAGTTGAACTTTGGTGGACGAAGAGGTTGAGCCATTTAATAAAATATTTGCTTTTAGTAAAAAAACCTTGCTTTTAATGAAATATTTGCTTTTAGTAATTTTTGAGCACACAAAATAACTACAATGAGCCCGTTATTTATAGGCGAGACAAAATACATAAAGCATGGTATAGTACTACGTTTTATGGAGTTGTCTTGTCGTTCTGAAAAAGATGAAATCCATGTGAAAAAAGCTGCTTTATTGCAGAAAAATTTAATACTTAAAGCGTGGTATAGTACTGCGTTTTATGGAGTTGTCTTGTCGTTCTGAAAAAGATGAAAACCATGTGAAAAAAGCTGCTTTCTTGCAGAAAAATTTAATACCTAAAGCGTGGTATAGTACTACATTTTATGGAGTTGTCTTGTCGTTCTGAAAAAGATGAAAACCATGTGAAAAAGTTGTTTTCTTGCAGAAAAATTTAATACTTAAAGTGTGGTATAGTACTACGTTTTATGGAGTTGTCTTGTCGTTCTGAAAAAGATGAAAACCATGTGAAAAAAGCTGCTTTCTTGCAGAAAAATTTAATACTTAAAGCGTGGTATAGTACTACGTTTTATGGAGTTGTCTTGTCATTCTGAAAAAGATAAAAACCATGTGAAAAAAGTTGCTTTCTTGCAGAAAAATTTAATACTTAAAGCGTGGTATAGTACTACGTTTTATGTTTCCTTTGTGCAGTTATGGTTTTAGTTCTACTGTTTGTTTTTGTGTTAGGTTTGCAAGGTTTGTGTTTGTGTTGTACTGTTTAAGTAAAATTGTTGTTCAAACGCAATTAAAATAAAATTATTGTTAAAAGATAATTGTTACCATTATTTACATAATGCACTATTTACACAAAGTAAAAACATAAGTAAATCAGTGAGTCCCGCAGCCTATGTGCTTCAGTGCTGCTGCTGGCCTAAGTCGCATCCCTTGTCGCCCGGGTACACTATCTGGATCATCGTCATCAAGCCGCCTCTTTTTGTGAGGATGTGCATCCGTGGTGTCCTCATCAAAGCATGTAGTGGCCTCAAAGATGGGCTGGGACGAAACCTTCATAAGAAAGTTAAAAATTAATTAATGTCAGCTCATTAAGGAAAAGAAAACAAATTGAAATTTTAAAGTAATACAAACATACCTGCGCCTGTGGACTGGGTGTTTTTAATGGGGGATGAGGTCTGTCGTTGTCTAGGGGAAGAAGAAGGGCTTTATTTTATTAAAGGAATTCGCAGTACTATACTGCGGATTACTTAAACGCAGTATAGTACTGCGAATTCCTTTAATAAAATAAAGTTGGGCCCAAATTAATAAGTGAAACGCTGTGTTTAAGTAATTCGCAGTATTGTACTGCGAATTCCTTAAAAAAATTTTTTTTTTAATAATACGCAGTACTATACTGCGAATTACTTTAACGGCTAAATTTCCGTTAAAGTAATTCGCAGTATAGTACTGTGTTTTAGGTATTTATGTAACTTTTTTTTAGTAGTAGAAACGTGCTTTTTGCCTAAAAAAGCATTAGAAAAGCTTCGGGTCGGGTCGTTCCACGAATCGGCCCACATAATCCATTAAAATTGACCCTTTAATCGGTCCATGACCCACAAATTCCTAAGCGGACTAACCCATTAATTTAAGGGGTCTGAGCCGGGCTATAATATTTTGACTCACTAAACCCGATCGGACCCAAGCTCGCAGCTGACCCACGAGTCAACCGGCCCAGACCAGCTCACATATATATTCAGACAAGTGGTAAAAAACTGAATCCAAACATTGAAGAAAGAATATAGTACCAGACCCTATGAGGCGCCTTGTCGACATAGTCGAATTTAGTATATATATTTTAGACTATTAGTATAGAAATAGTCGAATTCCATATGCTTCTCAAGTTTTTACTGTTAATAAAGTATGGTTTTTCTTTTATTTTTATTCTAATTGGCTTCAAGGACATGTAGTAATTTCAAGTTCGTATATATGTATAAAGTTTGAAATTTTTATCATTTATTACTAGTTTTTAACTATTTTTAATTAAATTGAATTCGGCCCATTAGGGCCCGAGTTAAGGGGTTACGGGCCCGGATCGGGTCAACATATTTTGATTAATGGGTCACATCCGGACCGGACCCTATACGTGAGCCGACCCGGCCCGGTTAAGGACCCATGGGCCAAGAGTCAACTGATTCGGGTTGGCCCATTTAACATGTCTAGCTGCCACACAACATAATAAAATATCTCAGCTACTTCTCTAGTTTCCTTTGCCCAGGGGAAGTGGCAACGTTGTTTCTCTATACTATAAATTTTGGTCCCATGAATTAATAAGGAGTAGGTTATATAAAGGGAGTTCATCAATATAAAATACCTTAAGAAAATTTTCTCCTTTGTCTTTGTTATCAATATTGACTTCTCTTCATTCTCAACATTTTTTCTTCTCAAAAAATCTGCTGAAATATTAAATTCTGGAAAGCAAAGAAAATGAGTTACAGTAAGAAGGAAAACAGTGATTTCTCTTCTTCTCTAAGGCCATTTCTTTCGTGCTTCTTCATTAAAAATGAAAGCAAAGTTGTGAAAAATTCAATCTCTAAAGGTTCATCGAAGCCTTCGATATGTGGACCAGAGGCAACTATGATATCTGCAGCAAAGCATTTCTCATCAGCTCATAAAGTTCGGTTGATTTAGTTGTTTCTGTGGGGTGTGTTTGGTATGAAAAACCAGAAAATAAGTTGTTTTTTTTTCCAATTGTTTACCTCGAAAATACGAGTAACAATTAAATTTGATTTGTGGTTTTAAAGATATGTGATTTAGTCTAATACCAATTAATAATCAATAAGTATAAAGTGTAAATGAAAGAAATAGGTGAATCAAACCAGTGTTACTTAAGCAGTATCGACCTCGAGCTCAGTGACCTCGAGATGAATCAAGAACAATAAAGCGAGAACAATAAAGTTAAAGGTCAATTCTAATGAAGAATGAGCGAAAAGTAGAGAGTATATTCTTTGCCAATGATTAGATGATGTTTACAAATGATTGGGGTCCCCTTTATTTAATAGGGGAACCCTAAATAAGGTACATTTCCATTTACAGTAAAGAATCTTATTGGGACAGCTGTCTAACCGCCTGGTACGGATTCGTACAAATCTGCTCCGGGATTTACGCCATGATCTTAGGGACGTGGGAGGAATCTTGCTCATTTTGTTATAAATCCACAACGGCATTATTTCGGGGTCGAGCATACTCAGCTTCGATACTCGTCGTACTTCGATCCTCGGGCATTACATTTTGTCTTCGAGCTCAAGTCCGGTCCATCGAGCTCGAACTCGACCTTGTCTGAACTCGGGCTTACGATCCCTAGAGCCCGGGAAATCGGTCATACCTGATTTCGGCCGTATACATCAATCAAACGCCAAAAAATATTTTTCTTTCCATTCAAAAGTGGCCAGAACCAAACGCAAGTTTCCCTGCATGTGGTTCGTCCGTGATAACTTCTTCGGATTTGCGTGAACTAGCGGACGGATCACTAAGTGGGGATGCTCTCTCCAGCATGAGCGAACCCTTTCACCCCCTTGTCACTTAAAGGGCGAAGTTGCTGAAGCGAGTCTAAAGGCCAATGAGTCATCTATGAAGGTTACTATGCATCCTTATTCATAGTAAATTGTGAAGGCTTTATTGAAAACTTTAAAAGAGTGGGAGATAGAAGACGCATGAGCGTTGGATAATGAAAAGAAAGATGACTTTCTTTGCTTATGTTTTTCTCCATTAGTACATTTAATTTCTAAATTTAGAGAGTGTTAGATGGTGAGATAAAGTTTCATCTGGAAAATTTTCCGAAAAATATTATGCGTCATGCAAAGACACTAATGTATCTCTGATGATTCATTACTTGGGATGGGGATATATTCAATGAATTTGCCTATTCTACTGCTACTAATCAGTGGCGGATCCTGAATTTTGATGGCGTCGATTATGAATTGAGAAAGTGAGTATATTGTTTTGTGCATAGTTATGGTATAATTGAGTATTGACAACAAATAAATGTATGGAACCCTTTGTAATCAGGGGGGCGGATGTAGCCCTATAGTAACAGTTCAATTAAACCAATAATTTTAACGCGGAGCATAAAATTTATGTGTAAAATCATTAAAATAGCAATAAAGTATATATATGAATCCATAACTTTAAGTATATAAAAAGTAAGACTAAAAACCTTAAAGTTGAACTCGTAGAATTTAAATTCTGAATCTGCCGATATTTTAATGCTTGGCCTTATATATGGCATGATGGCACAAAACAACTTGCATCTCTTTCCCACATATATGCTTTTGGAACAAATAACATGGTTTTATTATTACTGCAAACTTTTTTACAGTTTAAAGTTTTTAGAAACTTAACAGAGTAAATTTAAACAGTAAGAAAAAGAACTAGAGTGGACTCAGGCATTTGTACTGCTTTTCTTCCACTTGCCTTCTCCAAAATGACATCAGTTCATCAAACTGCACATTACATAAATCAAAGTACTATTGTTAACATCATTCTTGTATTTAGGAAAACACTAATTGATATATATACTATATCAATTACATCCATAATTCTTCAAGTTACGAGATTGATCAATAGCAAGTTGAATGGTGTTGTTTGTTTTACGAATAAATTATGCAGGGATTATAATGCAGATATTGTAAAAAGGGTAGTTATAAAGGACAGCGCGGTGCACTAAGCTCCCCCTATAGCCGGATCACAAGGATCTATTATATGCAGGGTAAAACCCTGCATTTCTGCAAGAGGTTGTTTCCACGGCTTGAACCCGTGACATCCTGGTCACATGACAACAACTTTACCGGTTAGCCAAGGCAAAACGGGAAGTGATCGTCATTGGATAATATAGTGTATATGTTTTTTGGACGGATGTTTGTTCATTGCATGAAAAATGGATGAAAAGTTCTACTTCATGCTAACAAGTATAGCAACAACAAACATATATACCCAGTGCGATTCCACAAGTGGGGTCTGGAGAGGATGGCGTGTACGCAGATCTTACCCCTATCTTTATGGGACAGAGATACTGTGTCTGATCGACTCTCGGCTCAAGAAAAGTGTTTTCCAAAACAGGTTTTGAAAAATTCACTTCGAATGAAAAATTAAACTAGTCAGGCTTATATAACTAACATACCGATTTTTGTCCACGAATCTCAGGAAATGGTGTTGGATTTGCTTCTTGATCAATGCAAACTCTATGTTTTTCATCCATTTTTATTTCATCTTCTTCTGATTCACTAAGATCAAAATTAGCAAACTCATATGGGTCCAACTCAAAACTAACTTGCCTCTCCTGACCATGATTTCCTTCAGTTGATAACTCAGTTATCTTTTTAGGACATTTATACATAAATTCTGGCAATAGTAAACCAAACATGTACACAGACCAAGCTGGAAATAGTAAGATTAAAGACATTGAGATGAAAATCATAGCAGGAAGTAAAATTGGAAGAAAAAATAAGCCAAGAAAAAGAATGAAACATAGCTTGAAAACTAGAAGCATTGACTAGAATGCCTTATACTATAGTACTATATACTTTGATTAATGCTTTATAATGAAGATTGAAACTTAGGAAGTGAGATTGGAATTTAATGTATTTGTTATATTTTAAGTCAGCATATCTAGATTTTTAGAAGTTATGAAGATTGGATCTTAGGAAATGGAATTCAATATTTTGTTACATATCTAAGTCAGCCTATCTTGATTTAGTAAGTTCTCTAGTAGGTGAGCATTCAAGAAAGTGTTGACTAGAGTCGAACTTATTTTGGATCCATTTGGTAGTTGAAGGATCTGACAGAAGCCACATTCTGTCATTAATTTTTTCTAGGTGTCTGGTTCTGAAATTCACTTAACCGACTAATTATATTCGAGTAGACCTACAAAGAGGTAAAACGCTCCTTATCAACAGGTTCTTCGTTTCCAGAGCTCTAACTCAAGATTTGTAGCCTAGGTTGAAGGATCTCAAACATCGGTAAGTACATACTTGTATCGAGCGTTTACGTCAAATCAAAAATTAATTTCTGTAGTTAAAATTTAAAGTGAGAATACATATCATTTATTAAGCGTTTAAGTTCTGCGACGTTGTCAATATAACACATTCGGAATTTAAGTTTTATAAATTGGTAATGTAAAGATTCTTTTAAACTAACAGTGAATTTTAGCCTGTAATAACATGTTAGTTGCTACTATTTTTTCAATTAACGTTTAATAAGAGATTTACTTATAGTTACCTAAAAGTGACTTGATTGTTTAAATATTTTTACACCATCAATTTAAGCTCAAACACCATTTACACAATCAAGTCACTTATAAAGTAATTACAAATAAGTGTAATAAGCAATGGTTGATTACCGGGAAAATAATTATAAATGACCAGCTCTTACAAATTAAACTATATTAATAGTGCAAAAAAAAATTCTTTACGTTATTATTAATGACTCTTAACAAGAACTTCACAAAGCAAAAAAAGGAAAAGGAAGTAATTAGATTACTTTGTATTTTAAAGTACTATATTTATTCTTTTATCTCCTATTTTTATATAATTAGGTGTTGGAGTAAATTAAATTATTCGGCATGGCTACTTCTATCAACGCCATGATAATTTGTCAGTTATAATTAAAAGGCAAGGAATAATGTCTCTGACGTACCAATTAACAACTCAAGGACATGCTCTACGTGAACAAAATTTATGAACGAACTTATGAATTAACTAAATGTATATTTTTTACAAGCATTTCCTTTCTCATAGATAAAGAGATATGATAAATACATTCGTTATTAGTCTACTAAAATCTTGATATATTCATTAATGTCTTCTTATAATCGCGCGGAAGCAAGCGAACTTCGTAGTTTTTTTCATGTAAGAGTGGATCAACGTTTAGATAGATTGTTTTGTTTTGATCAATATAACGTTTAGATGAATTGCATCATTTGGTAAAAATAGCACGGGCTAGCTAGTTTTCGGACTGATCATTCAAAAATAGCCAGCGTTTGCAAAATCATTGAAAAATAACCACTATTTTGCTGCAACACGGAAAGTTCCAGCATAATATACTGGAGATCGGTGCACCTGTGTATGAACTTCCAGCATATTATGCTGGAACTCCAACACGCAGAAAGTTCCAGCATAATATACTGGAGATTGGAGCTAGTGGCGAAGTCAGAAATTTCTTTAAGGGTGTTCAATCTTGAACTAAGTGGAAAAAAAATTCCCAATAAAGGGTGTTCAATATCTAATATACCTCTAAAACCTAATATTTTACTTATATATACATTGTAATTTTTCGGCGAAAGGTGGTCAATTGACCACCCTTAAGGGAATGTAGCTTCGCCCATGATTGGAGCACATGTGTATAAACCTCCAGCATATTATGCTGAACCGGTATATTATACTGGAACTCCAGTATATTATGTTGGAAGTCCAGTATACTTATGCTGGAACTCCAGTATAATATACTGGAGTATTTTCCTGATTTTGAACAGTGTTTTCTTCATATTTATCTTTACATGAAAAGTGGTCAAATTTCGATTATTTTTAAAACTGTGGCTATTTTTGAATAACCACTTGTAAATCTAGCTATTTTTGAATTTCTCCCTATCATTTGACCTCGTTTCACAATATCACGAACCAGCAACATGAATAATAAACTTACAATATTACAAAAAAAAAAAGAAGAAGAAGTAGGATACGTGATAAATTGTTACTCCCTGCGTTTCAATTTATGTGAACCTATTTTCTTTTTGGCTCGTGCCAAAAAGAATAATCACTTTTCATATTTGGAAACAATTTATCTTTATGCAATAATTTATAACCACAAAATAGACGTACCTCATTTTACACAACAAGTTTAATTTTATTTTTCTTCGTAAATTTAGTGCTGAGTCAAATATGTTTACATAAATTAAAATAGAGTGAGTATAAAAAAGGTGGGATAAATGATAAAATTAGATAATTTTAGTAATAAGAAAGGGCAAAATGCAAGGGAAAAAAAGCACGGTAACAACGTGATCAGTCCAAATTGATGTTACATAAAGTGGTACCAATGTGTAGAGCTGTCAATATGGGCCTGGCCGGGCTAGCCCAGCCCAACTTACATGGACTTTAGCAATTGACGGGTTGGGCTAGGCTAGCTCACCATTTTGATGGACCGAATAATGGTCAGCCCACCCCAGCCCTATGTGGGCTATAGGCCCCCACGGGCCGGCCCATCATTTTTTTAAAATATATTTCTTTAAGTTCTGACCTAAAAAAAGATAATTATTTGAAAGTTAAAAAATATCTAATTGAAATGTTTGTGCAAAACTTAATAACTTATTATACTGCTCCAATATATCACAATAAACACTAAAAAAGTAAAAGACAAGATTATATTTCATTTACTAAAAGTCAAAAGTCAAAACAAACTATTCAAAAGGACGTACACGACGCTTATGAGATATCCAACACATCATATTTATCAAACACATTTGAATCCGCTTGTGACAAAGTTGTCTTAACATCTTCACTTTCATCTACATCTACAATTCATATGCAATATTAATAAGTTAAATATTAAGAATAATTAAATGCTAAAAACTAATAATATTCAAATTCACATAAAAAAATATTACTAGTTTGAGTTTGGCAAAAGTCGTGCAGCCAATTTCTAATAGTAACAAGTGTTTGGACGTTTTCAGAATGGATGCAACTTCTGTACTTTGTAAGAACACGTCCACCAATGCTAAATGTTGATTCCGATGCTACAATGGTAATAGGAATACTAAGTACATCACGCGCCATCTCTGAAAGATCAGGATATTTTCTAGAATGGTCCTTCCAATACATGACAACATCCATCTATTGAAACTTCTCAAGATCAAGCTTTGGTTCCTCTAAGTAAAGATCCAATTCTGACTTTCCATCGATAGAGGCAATATACTTTTTATATTTTAAATAAATATTTTTATTAGGCCCAAGGGCCGACCCAATCTAGCCTCAGTCAAGACTCAAGGGCCATCGGCCACGGGCTTACTCGGTCCGAGCTTAAAAGTTGCATTTTAAATAGGCTAAAAAAAATTCTAGCCCAACCCTGTTAAATTACGGTTAGGTTGGGCTAGCCCAATGACCAAGCCCATATTGACGGCTCTACCAATATAATGATACAAGAAAAATAAAATTTAAAATGATAATTAAAATAAATATTATATTAAAGTAATAAAATATAATATAATAGGTAATTACCATTCATGTGGCGACTTTTTCTCAATTACGAATAGAAGTGAAAAAAAAGAATAATTTATCGAGAGGTAATTAAATACTTAGTGAGGATCCCCCCGAAAGTAACAGTAGTGCCCTCACAACGGAAGATTGACACAACCCAGAGAAAGCCTGACTCCATTTTATAAAGTAAAATTAAATTAATGTGTGATTCTGCCCATTCTCTTTTTCTTTTGTTTTTCTTAAATCATTTCATTTCTCTTTGTAATTGCAATTGACGTTCTATAATTTTGTTGAAATTCGCTTAATTATGTTGAATGTTACGTAATTTTTTATGTTTCCGTTGTGTTTATAAATTGCCAATCATGCTTAGGGTTATCCAAAGTGTGGGAATAAAGCTGCTAAGCTTTTTTTAGGCTATACAAATTTAGTACTCAAATTGCTAGTGTATTTTTCCATTTCCATTTTGTTAGGGTTATAATAAAGTTAGGGTTAAAGCTGCTAAGCTTATTTCGGCGATGCAAAATATGTGAAATAACTAAGCTAGCGTTTGGGTATAAATTTGATTGAAACTTGAAAAAAGAGTTTTTGAAGTTGAGCTGAAAAATAATTTTTGAAAGTTAGAAGTTGTGTTTGGACATGCATTTTATTTGAAAAAAGTTGAAGTTTTGTGAGGGGAAGAAAAATTTTCACGAAAAAATTGCCATAAACCTGTTTTTGGGTACTTGAAACTTTTTGAAGTTTTTTCCTCAAAACATGATCATATTTCATAAACAAATATTTTTTTTTTATTTTTTTGCAAAATGAAGCCAAAATCTATGGCCAAATGGGAGCTAAGTTTCCCGAGTTAAAAAGAACACTAGGTGATTTCTTCCCATCGATTGGTGGATAGAGTTACTTGGTACATGTAGTTGGGGGAGGTAGCAGGTATTCTGTGGAATTAGTCAATGTGCGTGTAAGCTGGCTGGGGCACCACGGTTATAAAAAAAATTATTGGAACTTTTTCTCTCTCTCTTTATTGTGTAGCTATAGATGTCCTTAAGCTAAATAGAAGCAAATGAGTAATGTGGTTCTGTCCTTTTGATTTTTTCTTTAGAATTAATCATATATATACAAGGGCGGAGCTAGAATGCAGTCAGGGGGTTCGGCCGAACCCAGTAGCTTTGGTTCAAACCCTGTATTTGTCTTAAAAAATTCATTGAATATGGATAAATTATTAATTTAGAACCCAGTAACATAAAACGATTAAATCCCGAACCCATAAGCTTGAAATCCTGGCTCCGCCTCTGTTAATATATAGTCTTTTGTTTTAAAGTTGTCGATGGCATCCTTACTGTAAAGAATGTAGTTCTTTGATATTAAGAGGAGATTTATGAATGATTTCAATTAGAGCACAGCCTTTCTGTTCTTCTTACAGTTATAGCATGTCAATGTCGAAACATCATGTGCAGCTGTGTCAAGATAGTTTGGAGATTTTACTCATCTTTGTATTCTTGTTCATTTTCTACAGGTTCTTATTGGTGATTACTGTTATATGATGCCTCCTGAAGACAAAAAACATTGTTCTCAAACTTTACCTCCCGATGTACTTAGCAACCTTCCGGAGTATGTAATTGATTCCATTTTGATGTGTTTGCCTTTTAAAGATGCTGTGAGGACTAGCGTCTTATCAAACAATTGGAGATATAAATGGTGCGGACTACCAGAGTTGACGCTTGATGAAGCTGTTTGGACAACTAAAAAGAATTTGTTTTTTCATACAGCTGAAATTACCAAGATTATTTCCCACATTCTGATATTTCATGCAGGACCGATTACAAAGTTTATCCTCTGTGTTCCTAAGTCGAGAAGCTGTCATATGATTGATGACTTGATATATTTCCTCTCTAAAAATGGCATTCAACATTTTGTTCTTGAACTTCCATTCAGGGATGACCCACACAAATTGCCTTCTTCATTTTTCAAATGTTTGCAGTTGAGGCATTTGACTCTCCAGAAATGTTTAATAATTCCTCCACCGGCCTTCAAAGGATTTCATAGGTTAATTAGGCTGGAGCTATGTGAAGTTACAATATCTTCCGAGTGGCTTGGAAGTTTAATCTCTCATTGCTTGTTGCTCGAGCATTTGGTGCTGCATATTGCATATTCTTATAGCAAAGTCATTGTAATCAATGCTCCCAGGCTGAGATCATTTTACTTCGCAGGCAGTATAAGATCTATCCTTATAAAGAGTGCCCTTCTTCTGGAAAAACTTTTACTTACAGATAATGAAGCAGGTTATTTGGGGGCAGAAAAATGGGATATTGTGAAGTTTTTCGAGTCTTTTTCTGCTGTTGAGCATCTCTGCGTGAATATGGTAAATGTTGCTTCCTTACTTCAGTATAACGCATTTTCAATTTTTAGGCTTTGTTTCACCCTAAATTTTTAATATTTTTTTCCTAGTTATTTGCTGCAGAAGTAGGTGAAATACCAACAAGGCTTCCCTTTGATCTTAACTGTGTCAAACAGCTTTACATAACTGTTGATCTGTATGACTCGGCTGAGGTTTCATGTGCTTGTTGCTTGATAAGTAGCTTTCCATATTTACAATATATGGAGATTCAGGTACTCTTCTCTATAGTTCTTATGTTGTGGCTTTTTATTTTCAGAGAATTGAGTTTGGTCAATTTTTCTTAGGAGGCTTGTTGTGGTGATGGTGTAGCAGATCATCGAATGGAACTTCCCTCAGACGTGACATTTAATCACCTCAAGGAAGTTAAGCTAATACTTACTAGTGGCTCAATCATTGAGATGCAGCTTGCCAAGCTTCTGTTAGCCAAGTCTCCCCTGCTGGTGAGAATGCTAATCGAGTCATGTCGAGCTAAAGGAACTGCAACAGTCAAAAAACTCGTTGATGAGCTAACAACATTTCAAAGTGCATCACCTGAAGCAGAAGTTGTCTTCATCAAACGCTAGTACAAGATCAAGATTACGATCCTGTTTATTGATCTTCAGCAGTCTTTAATCAATCTATGATCGTTATTTTGGAAGTTAAATTGAATAGTTTTTTGGTTGAAAATGAAATTTTTTAATCAACCAAGTATAACTATATACAACTGCTAGCTCCTTTGGACTCTCGAGCTAGTTCTCCATATCCATTCACTACCTATCTAGTTTGCAAAATTGTCGAAGAATCCTGCTACATCTAGATACGAAGCTATTCAAACTATTCAACAGGTTTCTCCATTTGTGATTCTTATGTCCTTGAGTATGCATCATTTTTGGGTAGATGCGCGGTGGATGATTTGACTCGTCTGATGTGTAATTTGTCATGACAATGCTAATGGTTCTTGGACTTTACTTCATGAGTTGTTACCCTATGTGGTTAATGTTTATTTGGAACTTCAAAGTTAGGTTGTGGGTTGCTGTTTTAGTTTTCTACTTGTTCATATCCCCTGCATGGAAAACTTAAAGCATTCTCTCAAGTATTATATCTCTGTAAGGGTAGTAAAGCCATGGAGGACTGATACAAGGTAGAAGATGGCACTTGCTGTTCAATTTTCACATGTTTGCAGTTGAGGCATCTGTCTCTTGAACATTGTTCAATACAGGATTTATATGTTTAAAAAGTGCCCCTTAACTTGTAATCCTTACACTTTGGCCTATGAAACATTATATGGGGACAGGAAATTGTCATATTGTCAAGTATATTGAGTCTTTTCCTGCTCTTGAGCATCTCCACTTGAATGCCCATAGTCTTTAAGGAAAATGTGCTTTAACACTTTATTGAGCCTTTTGTCATAGCCCGCCACATCATCATGCATTGTAGGTGCCACTTGGCATATATGTTTGCCATATGGAAAGCTTACATATGATATGAAATAGACTAGCACATGTGGGAAGGTTCTAGAGAAATATGGAGATTTCTCATGGAATATCTTGGAACCCTATAGAATTGCTAGGAAAGCCCTTAGTAGATTCTAGTTATCTAGAAAATTCTAGAGAAATGACTTACTTGTAAATAATAAGGGCTTTGTGTAATAATTATTATATACTAGCCCCTAAGACTAGTATATAAATGGGCTATTCATTTGTAACTCATCAAGCAAACATTTCAAGTTCTTTCTAATACAAAGTTTTTTTTATCAATTCTTTTGTGTTTTTTCTAACAATCCCTTAGCGATCTTGAGTATAGTAACATTGACTTGGCATAGCAAGAATGTGAGCAAGTTGTGCAAGATCGTGAGCGAGTTATCAAGTGTCACACGTGTACGTACTTAGTTAACGACTAAGGACATGACACTTTTCATAGATGGAATATCTTTTGGGCTTTGAGTCATTCAGTATTTTCTTCCTAGTTCTTGGCTACGGGAGAAGGTGAATTATCAACAAGGCTTCCCTTTGATCTTAAGGTATCAAATGTCTTTGCCTAGTTGATGAAGTAAGAATGGAATGGTAGATACTTATCACACCCGGTGTCTACATTTGAATTTGCTATAAAATTCAAATATAGTTACAAATGAATTTTTTTTAAAAGTATAGCTACAAATGATAAACATAGTGTATAAGTTAGCTACACCATATACATTTTTTTTTTTTTAAAAAAATGTGATGCAAGCACTTATGTCTATAGTGGCTTCTTTTGTTTATGGATAGTAAAACAGGCAACTATCTCATTGATATTGGATATCTCAGTGGTCATACTCTTTTAGTGAAGTCAAAAAATCTTTTCCTATTGGATGCATTTTAATCCATGAAAAGGCTTTATCTTCTTTTTAATACTCCTCTTCTGTCTTGTTTTTCTTGTGTGTGTATATGTTTTGTAGATTTGTTTGAACTTTGAGTGCCTGATTTTGTTGCTAGAGATGGCAGCAACTTATAAAGCTTATTATCTGAATGAAAATGTGTTTCTTGTTTTTATTTTTTCGATTTTCCCTTTTGAATAATATATATATATATATATATATATATATATATATATATATATATATATATACTAGGTGCCGTCACGACGCCTTTTGGAGGGGTAAAATGGGCCGTGACATCTATAAATGTGTGTGTGTATGCGTGTGTGTGTGTGTATATATATATAAAATCATATTTTATCATTCTAAACTTGGATTTTTTCCTTTTAATTTGTTTTATATGTCATACATAGATTTTGACAATATATATGGTTTTTGAAAAGTATTTACTAATATACAGAAGATGCACGTGTGACGCACGAGATGCACGTGAAGCGCACACGAAACTAATTTTATTTGATTTACTTGAGACCTCCTAAGTTTTTAAGTATTGATTTCTCAAACCAATTCCAATAAAATCAGATCCCAATAAAATCGATTTTCCTATATTCTATATTTATAGCAAGTAATTTCCACATTTAAAATATCTTTTTAAGAAGTTGTGGCCCTTTCCGTGGGAGGAGATCCCATCCGCCATGTGTCTACCAAACTATTTGAAAGTTGAAAAATTTCAACGTATTTTAGTCGAAACAACAATAAGAAAATCCAATGCAACGACGACCGTTTATATATATATATATATATATATATATATATATAATTAGTAAACTTAAACACTACTTCATTTCATATAATGCCACGACAGATTGGGCATGTAGCAGATCTGGGCATCCCTCTATGACTACAATGCGGGTGAAATTTGTGGCCGTATGGAAGCTTAACTTCGCCTCCAATCATCTCATTCAAGCATATTGTACAAATTTTTGCAGGACACTCCTGCATCTCTATGTCGCTTTCCGCTGGATCTTGTAGACACCACTTTCTAATGCCAATAATCAGCGCACACATGAGTGTCATCAGAGTCCCAAGAAAAGCGTAGCATTTCCACGGGCTTTGACCAGCTACCACGGTGGTGCACATATTGGGCAGCAACATGGCTTCCAGACAGTAGAATTAGCGAGAAAACCAACTTGGACGCTTCAGTACCTATGGGGGTTGTGTGTGTGTGTCATATTTTATCATTTTAAGCTTGAATTTTTTCCTTTTAATTTGTTTTATATGTCATACATAGATTTTGACAATATATAAGATTTTGAAAAGTATTTACTAATATACAGAAGATGCACGTGTGAACCACGAGATGCACGTGAAGCGCACACGAAACTAGTTTTATTTTATTTACTTGAGACCTCCTAAGTTTTTAAGTATTGATTTCTCAAACCAACTCCAATAAAATCAGATCCCAATAAAATCGATTTTCCTATATTCCATATTTATAGCAAGTAAATTCCACATTTAAAGTGTCTTTTTAAGAAGTTGTGATCCTTTCCATTGGGAGGAGATCCGTTCCGCCATGTGTCTACCAAACTATTTGAAAGTTGACATTGTTTTCATTTGTAAATAACTAAAAATTTCGACGCAATTTTAGACGAAACAATAATAAGAAAATCCAATGCAATGGCGACCGTTTATATATATTAAGTTTTTATTGCACTATTCGTTTTACAAATGCATTCGTAGAGTTGTAACAAACTAAAATAATTAGTAAACTTAAACACTACTTTATTTCATATAATGCCGCGACAGATTGGGCAGGTAGCAGATCTGGGCATCCATCTATGGCTACAATGCGGGTGAAATTTGTGGCCGCATGGAAGCTGAACTTCGCCTCCAGTCATCTCGTTCAAGCATATCATACAAATTTTCGCAGGACGCTCCTGCATCTCTATGTCCCTCTTCGCTGGATCATGTAGACACCACTTTCTAATGCCAATAATCAATGCACACGTGAGTACCATTAGAGTGTCACGACCTTACTAACCCAGTCGTGATGGTGCCTATCCTGGTACTAGGCAAGCCGACTCATTACCAACACAAAACGATGTTTTCACTTCAAAGGTAATTTCAAAGCTGTTTAATCATAATAAACTTTCATAAAGAAATTCAAATCAAGCAAAAGTGCGGAAAGAAAAGCCCAGAATCGGGTAGTCATGAGCAAACTACAACAACTGTCAATATTGAGACCAACACAGTCTGGAAAATAACTAAAACAACTACAGGAAAATAGGAGGGAGAAGAGCAGGGCTCCGATCACCAAACATCTACCTTGCTAACTCTGGTAGATCTACGACAGAAGAATCAACACTCGCTACCACGTCCAGAAACACCTGGATCTGCACATAAGGTGCAGAGAGTAACGTGGGCACACCAACTCAGTAAGTAACAACAACAAATAGAGACTGAGCAGTAGTGAAGAGCAATAAAGCATATAAAGTTCACATCATGAAATATTAGTAAAAGACAACATGCTTTTAAAATCAGGGTTTGAATCAAATCATCTCGTTTAAACCCAGTTCCAGTAAAAATCATTTAAAGATATTTTTCAACAATTTTCAAACACGGGCTCAATGCAAAGGTGAACAGAAAATGATGAAATCATAAACAGCCCCTTGGGCAAAAATATCACTCATATACAGCCCCTCGGGCAAACCTCACAGTCACTCGTATACAGCCCCTCAGGCATACCTTACAATCACTCGTAAACAGCGCCTTGTGCATACCTCACCATCACTCATGCCTCCCAGTCACTCAGCACTCAACACTCGCACTTAGTAGGTACCTGCTCACTTGGGGTGTACAGACTCCGGAGGCGCTCCTTCAGCCGAAGTGCTATATCAAGCCAAATCATGGCATAAATCAATGAGGCCCTCGGCCTATATCAAAACATGTTGCGGCGTGCAGCCCGATCCCATAAATATCCTCACAAATCAGGCCCTCGGCCTCACTCAGTCATAAACCTCTCAAGCCACTCGGGCTCTCAGTAAAAACAGGGTACTCAGCCCAAAAGAACATTTATATGCATCAAAACTGAGTAGTAAAGACTGAGTTATGAAGTAAGTAAGTATAACAATGACTGAGTTTAGATTTTCAATCGAAAACAATGAGAGGATAGTAAGAAAAAGGCCCTTAAAGGTCCAAACAGCACTGTCACAAGGCCTAAACATGGCATTCAACCCAATTTGTAGAAATTCTTTCTAAAACACATAACTATCATATAGTTTCAACCAAATATGCAACTTTACAGTTGCCACGGGACGGACCAAGTCACAATCCCCAACGGTGCACGCCCACACACCCGTCACCTAGCATGTGCGTCACCTCAAAATAGTAACGTGATATGAAATCCGGGGTTCCATACCCTCAGGACTAGATTTACAATCGTTACTTACCTTAAACCGGTCAAATCTCTACCTCGCGATACTCTTGCCTCTCGACTCGGCTTCCAAATGATCCGAATAACCTCAAATTTTGCACACACATCACAAATGATACTACGAACCTATTCCAACTTCCAAAATTCCATTCCGACCCCGATAACAAATTATCCACTGTCGACCAAA